TACTGAACTGGTATGCTAACATTGAACAGATAAATTTAAAGTCAGTCTCAATAATGTTAAAATGTGCTTGGAGTAAGACGTTGATTCATGAATGTATGTTGCAATACCGGTAAAAAACTTTCAGTGCTTACTTTCATGTGCTGACATCTGTTGTTTTTTATGTCAACATCTCAATGCTTGGAGTTCACTAGACATTGACTTTACACTGAGTCCAGTAAATTCAGTCTGGGTACTACTCTCTGAATTTTCTTTCTTTTCTGATTCGTCGTTCTCTAACACTATGCATATGTCTTCTGCCCTCCTTTTCTCTCTTATCTGAAATATGTTATAACGCTTCACTATGATAGGCTGCGGGTTTCTGTTGTCAACATTATAAAGATTTAATGTCGGACATACTTTTTGACCTACGAGAGAAAATAATAGTGTCAATTAAATTAATGTCAGAGCCTAACGTTAACGGCATTGTACAGGACGACATTGTTCAACCAACACAGCAGTGTCAAATTTATCACATCGACTGTACTCTCTCCAGGTTTAGATCTATACTAAAATATACAAATACTAAAGCATCGTGCAACGAATATTTTAGAAACAAACGTATCACTTATAAAATGAACAGAGCATACTCGTGCGTTATCAAAGTTCTTGTTCTCGAAACACTGCTCAATGCAACCCAGCCACTCGAGGCTCCTTTCTCCGCTCATACGTTTACATTCCTGGCCTTGATTTGTGATGACTGCTGGAAATCTATAAAAATGTATGTATTTTTGATTTGAACACCTCAAAACTGCAAATTTGATGACCAAGATATAGAAGAAGGATGCATACGCCACAGGAAGTGCGGCTTCAGCACAAACCTGTACCATATGGCGCCTTTCTAGCCGATTTTTTCTAAAATAGCGCCCCTCCTGTGTCTTCGTGGTTATGCATGGATCTTGATAATTATTTTTACAAGTTAAATGCAATTCCCTTCACAGGTGTATATTAAAATTGGGCTGCTCCCCCTTAGAAAAAGTACAAAATATGGTAGTTCCCGAAAAAAAGTCTTTGAATTTTCCTTATGCCAATTCTTTCTCTCAAGTACGGCGGTATGCACTGCCTTTGCAACAGTTCTCATTACTCTCTCTGCTTTACCAGACGCATTACAGCTTACATTTCAGTGCACTGAATGACTTTTGCTGTCTTAGACCCCACGGCCTCGTCATATCTTGATGAGTAAGCTCTCGTATGGGTGCTGATATAGATTTATCTATGTGTCTGGTATGAATCTGGCTATGTAATTTGCCATGCCAAGAGAGCTTCTGACTTCCATTATATCCTGTGGTTGTCTGCTGATACTCCCTTAGCGGAGATGGTATGCAAATAGAATGTGATTTCTGACTTGCTGAATTCACATTTCCCTCTGTTGGCAGTAATGTTATTGTCTTTTAGTCTCTGCTTTCAATTTCTCATCATGATCTGTCTGTTCCTTGCAGAATAATATTATGTCATCGGCATTTTTCTAGCAACTGGAATTCCTTGCAGTACATCAGAGATAGCTTCGGAAATATGCCCAAAGCTAAATTTATGCCAAAACAAAGCCTCTTGTAACGAAATAAACCCAAATGTGTGGCAAATGTGGTTATATGTCTTGAATCAGGAGCCAATTCTAATTGATATTATCTCTTGTACAAATCTGTTTTGATGAACACTATAGCACCATTTAAATCAGATCTATTATTGTCTGTATCGGGTGATGCTCTCTTTCTATAGCTATTTCTGGGGCTCTCATGTCAACACGAGTACGAATAGTTTCTTACTTTGCACAGCCAACAATCGGGGAAACCCATGGCGTTGCACCTACAGCCTTTTCTATTATGTCTAACTCTTCCAATTTCTGCAATTCTTTCTCTACTTCATCTCGAACGTGGAATGGAACACTACGATTCTGTTGAGTAACTCGTTTAACTGATTTATCAATAAGTAATTTTTCTTTAACCTGTCACATCTTTCCAATGCCCTCAAAGCGATTCACAAAATCATTAACTATTTTCTAAACAGTGGGTACAAGTGTTGTGGTGCGCATTATTCACGATGGATGGCAAACTATACATAAATTCTCAATCAAAAGTTGTTTGGTTAAAAGTGATTTTACAGACATTTCAGCTTCACCTATTACTGGACGTGGTTTTACAACATTACAGCAGCAAGTGTATATTTAGTCACCGTTTCAGACGAAGCCTGAAAAGCGGACAATTAATTCTTATTTAAATTTTCCGTCTGTGACGTCTCTAACATTTTCTCACAAATTTTGCAGCAGATATTGATAAAACTTGGCAGGGTGATTAACAAGTCTTTGCCGATTATGCACGTAATATTTGTTTCCAGATCTGAAAATCCTAAGTGGGTCTTTTTCATAATTTTCATCCAAAACTACCTCTCCCTACTGCACTGAGAAAACAACTGAGCATGCTCAGAATGAATAATTAGCTTAGATTGTAATGCTAGGGTTTTTAGTGATGTCATGACCTTGATCAGAATCAGTGACAGATATGATCTACCCTATCAGTTTCCTTTGTCTTTTGATTGACGTTCAAAACAAGACCTACATCAAGAATGTCTTTTAATGACAAATTGTCTAAGTGCCCTCCTACTTAGCCTTGCTGATGTTATAGATATTATTATTGTTACTTGATCTCTTTGCAAGTTGTCTCAACCATGTATTATAGTGATTGTCGCAAGGTTTCTGTGATGATTTCTGAATACATAAACTTTGCATGCTTTATTTACTTTTGGTATAAAGTTATTATTCAGTGTTTCTAGAGCTTCCTTGAATTCATCACCAAAATCTGGTAGGGTATCAATAAGATGTGCTACCTCATTCCCAGCTGAATGTAATAGTAAAGCACGCTTTCTCTTATAATCATTGATTGCCTGGGCAACCAAGTATGTCTCAAAGCGTTTAACTTATTTTAAGAATGTGCTTTCGTCATGTACTGTGAATGACGGAAATGAGAACAGCACAGTATCCATTTGTCACAGTGCAAGGCCTGCTTATCGCTAATGAGAGGGCACCCACAGAACTCACACTGGACAGGGGGTTCTTCCACTGCTAGTATGAGGTAGACAAGACAATAGTACTGGAAATGAAATACCTCTCAAAATAATCAAAGGAAATAAAGCACAGAAAAATACAATGAATAAAGTCACTAAAATAGGGGATTGCTTAGGGAAGTGTGCATTGGTGATAACTCAAGTTCCAGGATGTATTAATGGACGACAGTCAATGGCTTCTGCTACACAACAACGAAGAAATACAGGAGTCTTGCTTGCAGAGGAACGATGTTATTCTGGAGTGCACACTGGAAGCAGGAGATCGCAGAGCAGTTCATACAAGTCTCACAGAATGATGGTTGTAGCCTACATCACTTGCCACACAATATCATAGCAGCACACACCAGATACCAAGTTGAAATGAATGACCAAAACTTCCTGAGTCTGTCCAATTTATAGGCATGATTCAGTGACACCACCTGGGTTTCCACATGAGTCAATCAGAATGTGATCTTGCTAGCAGCTGTGTCACGTAGGCAACTCAGTAGATCATAAACATCATTTTTATTCAAATAACAGCACACTGGTAGATTCCAATTCTTCTTCCAAAGTTGTAAAAACCCTTTGTTATGTAAATTACAAACACACCTGGTAGAACCCACTGTTCTTCAAGAGTTGAAAACAAGTATGACCTGTCAATCACCTTTATGACAGTTATCACAATACACACCGTTTCTTCCCATGATGTAATGCAAACTTCCATTTGCAAGGTTTTAGGTAATATGGCATAATATAAAGGATGCTGACATTGCCCCCTCTGAACATGACACTTTTTTAATCCAACAATCAGCATCAACTGCCAATAAATTTACATTTCTCAAAATTGCAAAACATATTGTAACAGTAATTCTAATTCTCAATCCTGCTTAGGTAGTCTGCACCTATATTGTCTTTACCTTTAATTGATATAATGCAGTAGCTAAAATATTTCAAATATAGGGCTCACCGCATTAACTTGCTGTTTTAACCTACACCAACTCTATTACAATTACTGACCAATGCATCAGCAACCACTTCCGAAGTAATTTTCTTTAACGCTACAGCCTTAGGGTATCGTGAAGCATAGTCTACAACAGTCAAAATGTACCTATGACCTCTCTCAGTTGCTGGACTGACCGGACCAACCAGATCCATAGCTATCATTTGAAATAGAACTTCAATCAAGGGCATATTGCCTAATGGTACCTTGCTAACACGACCCCTATATAAACATAATATAAAGGATGCTGACACCATTGTTCAGAATTAATTCAATATTTTCACATGCAGCGAATCTGCATTACTCTGACGATAGTCTGAATTCTAAGGAATCTGTAAACTCTGACACTGGGAAATGTGTATGGCTGATTTACACACTATGTTCAGTCAATGCTCAACTCAACGATTTATGAAGTAAAACACTTCTGCAGGCATCTCAGGTTTTCTCTAATTTTGCACTGGTTTTTCCTCGTCGCCATGTTGTAAGATCGTAAGACAGAAATTAAACAATGATAGCAGGGGCGGATACAGGATTTGTTTGTATGGGGGGGGGTCAAACTTTAAAATCGCCAGACTAAGTTAATTATTTTTTATATTATACAAAAACAAATTGAATATTTTTTTCAGGGGGGGGGGGTCCGGAATACACAAATAACAATAACATGAATACAAATGTATACACTGGACATTATAGGAACTAGCAGCGTAAACCGATTGCAAGTTTAAGCAATTTTTGGGCCAGTTTATTTTTACAATATTTCTGAGTTTCATTTTTTCATTATTTAGTAAAGAAATCACTGAAACAATTTATTATATCAGTAAAAAAACTTGCCGACCGACGAATGAATTCGAAATGTTCGAAGTTTCAAAAAAAAAACTTCCGGCACTCTTTGCGCCATATGCGATAGATCGGTCTAGAGATCTTCAAAATGGCTGTGTGTCCGGTTGTCATGGAGGCCGTGACGTAAGTGAAAGGCCTCACAACTGACCCCTGGCGTTATTGTTCACATTACCCCGATTCTACAAGACTCACAATAAGGTAAGCTCACTGCACGTATGTTTGTTGTTTTCGTTTACCATTATTGAGCACAAAAACTGTGCTAACAGAGGGGATAACACTTTGTCAATCAGGAAAGTTTCCTCAGGTGTTAGATTTTCTGCAAAAGGCTGGACATCAGACCTGTCAATTTCATACCCAAATGAACTGAATGTGACAAAATGCTTTTGAGTTGGGGAATTTCTGATAGCAAGTTATTTTTTTCACTA